TTCTCACATGACAGAGTCACTTTCCTGCTCCTTTAAAATCTGTGGATGAAATCCATTCAACTGCTTTAAAAATTTCCTGATCAAAACTTGGACATGCTGGCAGCTTAAGCCTGGTTTACAACCCCACCTGCACTCTTTATGCAGCCAAATCAGAAAGCTATTTAGCTCTGTGTGATGGGACAGAGCAACTCTGTCTGCCCACCTATATGAGATTCTCCTCTCCTTTGACTGCATAAGAACTCATACAGCTTACACACCCACAAACAAAGATTGGCAAGGTACAGGGGCTACTGCATAAGAGTTAAGGGAAACACATTTAGTATCCCTGGCAACTTGGAATCGAACCCACCTGCAGCAGCAGCAGCAATTACAGGGACTCTTTACAAAACAATCAGTGTACAGGGCTGAAGTTTCCAGCCACAAGGTAACTAGACACTGGATCCCAACCATTCAGTCCCTGGGAGAAGGTACAGACAAGCCAGTGCTCAAAGGCTGCTTTCATGTCTAAGTTTCCAGGCTTCTCTGGGGAGCTCTGCAAGCCCAGACACTTGTCTGCCAGAATCAGGTCGGCGGCAGAACTCTCCTGGGAGGAGAGGAGCCGTGCTCTAAGCAAGCAGCATTCCTGAGCACCAGCAAGAAGAAGGGGCACTCCCAGGCCCAGAAGGTCTAAGCAAACGCAGCCAATGAGGCTGGTACTTCCAGGAGCTTCATGCTCCTGGGCCCCACCTCAGCTGCAGAATAAGGCAATAAAACTGCATAGCTGAACTTCAAGTAATTATTACAAACTGTGTCTGCTGCCTGATCAGCATTTTAACATAAAGGAGGTTACAGAAATGCCAGAGAAGCACAATACTCAATGTTCCGAGTAATAAATCATCTGCGTGGGAACAGAGCTCAATCCGATCCATGCGTACATGCAGCCCCCTCAGCTGCACCCTGAGAGGCTGCAATGGTCTGAGAGCACGGTGCCCAGCTGCAGCCTGCCCTGCTCCCAGAAAGCAAACAGCTGCTCATGGGCAGCTCTGAGCATCAGCCCACGGATGAACTAAGGTGTAGTTTTCACTCAGATAAACCGATCCCACAGCTGAGAACAACCTGAGCTCACTGCTCTTTTAAACAGGAAATCCAGTGAGCAATAAAAAACGCTGGTGAGCATTTTTGCCAATTTCAGCTTTGATACTCTTCTGCTAATGTTAGAAACAGCAATCCACAAATGGTCCTCCTGAAAACAAAGACGGAGTCCAAGTATTTTAGAAACACGTCTAAATATTTATTCTTCTTCCAGGGCAGGAAAGGATTTTACTTCCCTAGTTCTCATGCCATTATCTGCACCAACCTCAGTTACATACATCTATACATTTTTTCTGCTGTCTTCTCATAAAAGCTTTATCCTTGCATTTCATAATTATTGTTTCTTCTCTAAACTACTGAAAAACCCACCTTCTGCTAAATCTGCATAGGCCATTTGCTAATAACCCATCATCACCAGCTAACGGCATTCTTGAATAAGACAATAAAGCATCCTTAGCATAACAAATAATCCATCTACGAGTCCTTTCTGGAGGTTACTAGTGAAAGCCAGATATTTCTGAATGCTGAAATATTCTCATCAGCGCAATACTTCTGTAAATTCCCATACTGTCCTCTTATGTATGAATTTTCTAAGTAAATTCTTTTGTTATTACAATGGGCACTTGCAAAAGAAGTAAAACATTTTAAAATTATTCAGGCACCATAATGCCTACAAAATGCCTACAAAACCTTCCAAGTACCACAGCTAATTCCAGGAACAGCTCCTATAGTTCATAATGCAAGTGCAGAATGACCTCACAGTCAAGACAAACTATCAGATCCCTAAAAAAAAAAAAAAAAAAAAAAAAAAAAGAAACAACTCCACTGTGTTCAAGTTTCAGAATTTGACAGCAAGGTACAAAAAGCTTTTAGAAGTCCAATCTGACTCTGAATGTGAACTGGAAGAGTTTTCACCCTGATGTACCTTCAAGAACAAGCTGCATGCCTGGGGAACTCTACCCTACAGCCAAGCACCAGAGGACAAGATTTGAGGCGCACACAATGACAACTCTGTGGTCTGATTTTTGGGCTGTCCTGTGTGGAGCCAGGAGGAGTTGGACTCGATGACCCTCATGAGCCCCTTCCAATTTGGGATATTCTGTGATTCTACAACTTAGTGATTCAGCAGTTTCTACAGAAGATGCGTACCTTCCATTTCGGATTATCTATGTTTAAGGGAGTCAGCCCTTGCATTTCTCAGGCACCTGCTATAATCCCGGCTTGCTTCCAAGCCTGATGCCATGCATTTTCTCCAGGTCAGCCCTGCAGCATCAAAGCCCCGCCAGGCCAAGGGGCTGAGCACCCCGAGCTTCACAAGGGAGAAACATCCCACAGTGAGCTCACACATCGCCGTGCAAGCGCCCGGACACTCGTCCCCTTGGCACCTTTGTCCTACTAAAAGCAACACACCACCTTGCGAACTGGCACCTGGCCACCCCGACAGATGGACTGGAGTGCAGGCAGCCAAGAGACTATGTATAAGCACCAAATATGTTTTTGAGAGGAGGACTTCCAGCCAGGAATGTTAAAACAGCTGTCCGCATTGAGCTTGCATGCCTACACTTAAGAGGATATGCTATTGCCACTCGAGCCCTGAGCTGGATTAACTTGAAAAATAAATAAAATAGCCTCCACATCCACATAAGGTGAGCTTTTGCAGCATCAGGATTAGTGATGCTGAGGGGGCTTCACCATCCATCAGTCAGCAGGCAAACTGAAGGCTGAAGTGCTCCGAAGTTGTGCAGATCCATGGAACTTTTCTCTTGTGCATGCTTCCTAACAAATGTTTTTCAGTTGAACACGTATTTAAATCTGTTTTAATTAAAAAGCACAGCATGCAGTACCAGCCTGATTTCCAACAAACACACTGGTGACTTCACACTCTGCACTGGAGGATACCTCTAGTTTGAAATTAGCCATCTTCACTGAAAAGCATCCTTGTGTGAAAGGAATGCTTTCACCAGGCTTTCTCTTCTTTTCAAAACCTCTAAACATTCCAGCCCAAGATTTTTGGTTAGCTTTTGGCTACATACATCCACAGCATTCAAAGCTAGGTTAGATGGAGCCCTGGTAATCAGCACACTTGCCTCTATGGTCCCACAGTGTGCCTGGCCAGGCTGCCCACTGCCTATGAAGGTCTCTCTTCAAGAACTGAAACATTCCAAACCTCAGAGAAGCACCAAGCACAGGTTGCTCACGCCAGCATGACCAACTATTTTTTTTTCTTTCCACAGAACTCAGATTCTACTCCTGCACTTAAACACTATATAGCTTAAAAACTGACAGGAAGCAACTAGTGAATCTTTTAAATGTGCTTTGTGTTCATATTAACTCTCATTTCCCAGCGGATAGATCAGATGGCTGGCACAAAACCCACATTCACACTTCAGCTGAGTATCTCACCTTCACTTTTCTCATTCACTACACACAAGCATCCCATCTATGTGGACATTCCCAGTATAGATCAAAGCAGCACTCATCACCTGGCTCCCGGCTCACCCACAGCCTTCCAGCAGTTGCTGGTGTCTTTTACCTTTGCTAAGGCTTTGAGGCTGATCTCTGCAGCAATTAAAAGCTGCCTGAGTCATTTTGCCATGACTTCCTGTGGCAGCAGAAATTCACAGCAGCACAGTTTCTCCTGCACTGAGGATTTCCAATAACCTTACCTCCCCCTCACTAGGGCTCTCTCACTCCACTCCTCTCCTTTGCCCTTCATGTCTCACCTGCAGCCAATTCCCTCTCATTTTCCCTTGTTTTTAAGAGTGGTATGAAATTACCTGTTGCCAAAATTTTCAGCCCACTCTCTACTGCTCCAAACTACAGTTATGGACCTCAGCAACAAGACACTTTGTTCTTCCAGGCTAAGCTAGATTTCCATCCCAGCACACTTTTCTCAGAGGCTGGGGAGCGCAGGAAAATGCTGTGTAAAATATTTCACCAGGCTGATCAGCAGTGCTGCGAGAACAGCAGAGGAAACACAGCTAATACCTACACTTCCTTGTGAAGCCCAAAAACATTAAGGGCTTTCTCAAGACACTATACATAGAACTGACTTTAAAATGGTTCAGGGAGCAGTCATGTTGCTGATGAATAGGTCACAGGGAATAAAAAACACAGATATGGATCATTAACTTTTGCTTAACAAAGTAATTACACACACATACCATGTGCGTTCCTGTCATAAATGTCTATTTTACAGGGAATGATTACCTCCAAAGTTATTGCAAAGATGCAGCAAATTAACTGGCAATGGGAATGCTGAGCAACCACTTAAGCAGCTCTCCCAGCACCATCAGTGCCTCCCTTAATCTGAGAATGATTTGAAGGGCCGAGATTCATTTCTCACAGAATCACATAAGATACCAGCAGAGCACAGGGAACAACTAATCCTCCTTCATACTACGCACACTATCAACAGTGTTGATATCTATCATCTCCAATCCCCAAATAAGTTCAGTACATAGTTAACCAAGAAAATCCTTTCTCGCATGATAGGAACACCTCCTGTACCTGCCAAACTCCAATTCAGAGGGTTGTAACTTTGGGGTGTTCCTCGAGCTCCCGTAACTGAGCTCTAACCCTGAAGGTGTCACTTACTGTTATATCCAAGTTCTTTCCAACTGAGTTCCGACATGACTTATTGATGCCTGCCAAAATTCATTGCTAAATAACTTCTGGGAAAGTAAAACAAAACATGTAAAAATCTGTCAAAGTATCGATAAAACATCAGCATTATAAATACTCCAGATGAATGGCACGCTGGCCAAAATTTAGAAATGCATTTTTTCTGCATTAGCAAAAAGAGCACTGTTGAAGGGGCTGAGCTAACTGTAGCACTGCTTGCAGAAGTCACCTGCTTATGGTGGGGAAGGCGACCTTCTCTGATGTCCTGCTCCACACTGTTACATACTGCCTGAGCTTCACCTGTCACTGCTGGTCACCATCCCACAAGAAAAGGGACGGAGGGGGAGGGCATTTTATCACAGGAAAGCACAGCAAATTTATTTGGAAAGTTTCCTTTGGAAGGCAACCTGATGCTGTTCAGAAGGCACAGAGCTCAGCCAAAGATGCCTTACCTAGGTAAAGCGAGGCGTTCTCTTTCTTGACATTGTCATCCAGGTAGGTTGGTCCCAAGGTATAGATGGGTGTGGAGCCCATGCCGATGAGAATTTGGGCACAAATGAATAAAGCTACATAGAGGGAGTGATCGTTCCCACCGGAATCCTTGATGCAGGCCGGCGAGTCCCACTGCTCCTTGGCGGTGCCATTGCCGGTCACGCACAAGCCCTCGTTGCTGACGGAGGAGTTCAGCTCCTGGATCTGGTACGGCGGGGAGATGAAGTGAGGTAGGGAGAAGAGAGCGGCCCCCAGGGCAATGAAGAAGCCCCCGACGGCCAGCCAGAGCGGCCTGCGCCCGCGCCCCCCGAAGTAGCTGATGAACACCACCACCACCAGGCTCCCGATGTCGAAGCAGCTGACCAGCAGCCCCGACTCCGAGCTCTTCAGGCTGTATCTCCGCTCGATGGTGGTGATGACGCTGCTCAGGTAGCCGGAGACCATGAGGGACTGGATGAAGGTCAGGAAGCACATGCACACCAGGAAGAAGCGCGAGTCCGCCAACACTGCCCGGAGGCACGCTCTGCCCGGCGGCCCCGCCAGCAGCAGCGGCGGCGGAGGCGGCGGGGGGGCTCCAGGGGACACCCCTCTCCCTGCCGCCGCCGGCTCCGTCCTCCGGGGGAAGCTCCCGATGGCGGCGGCGGCGGCGACAGGCGGGGTGCCGGCAGTCCCGGCGGCGCCCGACCCGTCCTCGGGAGCCGCCGGGACGCCGGCGCTCGGCGAGGCATCGCCGCCGCCCCCGGCCGCCAGGGGGGAGCCGAGCGCGGCCCCGCGGCCCAGGGGCGCCGCCCCGCCGATTGCCGGCAGGCTGCGGCACCGCGCCGCCGCCGCCCGCTCCGCCCCGGGGCAACGCTGCTGCGCCGCGCCGTCCGCCGAGGCCATGCTGCGCGCCGTGCCTCACAGCCGCCCGCTCGGCTCCATCGCCGCCGCGCGTCGAACGCGCTGAAAGAGCCGGCGGGAGTGCAGCATCGCGGGGAGGGGAGGAGGGAGGGAGGGGACAGGGGTGGCCCTAGCCGCGGCCGCACGTGTCAGCCCGAGCCACTTCTGGCTCCATCCTCCCTCGGTCGCGCTCAAGGGGCCACCCGCCCTCCGGGACGGCCCCGCTGCCGGCGGCTCCCGACTCCCTCCGCCGCGCGGCCGCGCTCGGCATCCGCCCGTCGCTCCGCCGCCCGCATCCTCCTCGCTCGCTCTGGCTCTCGAGATCTCTCTCTCTCCGCGCCGCTGCTGACGGAGCTCTGGGGACCGCCGAGCTGCGGGACGGAAAGCAACGCGGCGGTCAGCAGCGCACCGCCCGGCGCTTTGCACCCTCCCCCCCCCCTCCGCGCACCGGGAGCGCCCACCGCCTCCACGGGTTTACATAAGGCACAGGCATGTCGGCGGAGCGCGACCCTACGCCAAAGGTCGCCGTGCCACGCTTTTTATTTTCGAGCCTAAAAATAACCGCGCAGAAATAAACACCCGGCGAGGAGGGGGGGGGGGGAGAGCGGCACGGGCGGGGGTAAGGGGAACAAAGCCGGGCGGGAGCCGTGCCCCCCCGGAGCCCGCCCGGCGCTGCCTACCCGAGCGTGGGGCGCGGGAGCTCCTTTGTCCGCTTTGTCTCCGACTCGGGGCGGGCGGGGAGGAACGCGGCCCCTCGCCGCCGGCGCCTCAAGCCCGGTGCCCCCCGGCCGCCTCCGCCTCCGGGCAGCGCAGGCGCGAGCGCAGCCCGGCTCGGAGCCGCGATGCCGGCTGCTGCCAGGCTACCTCCGCCCCGCTGCCGCTTCGCGTCCCGTTCCGAGAGCAAGACGGGCCCGCCGCCAAAAAGGCACCTCTGGCACCGCGGGGCGGCACCGAGGGCGCTCCGCTGTGCTTTGTAAGGGAGGTGAAATCTGCGGAGGGCGATACACTAACTACTGCGTGTGTTGCGAAGTGAGAGGAAAGAACAAAGGGATTCCGTAGGGGAAATAAAGAAGCACCCGACGGCCCGCGCTGTGCAGGGTCCTGTCTGCAGCGTGAGCCCGAAAGTGGGATACACGCACATCTGGGGAACGGAGTTCAGGGTGCGCTCGTCAGGGAGCTTCCCCTTCGTGCCCTCCTGCCGGTGTGTGCCGTGTCCTCAGTCACGCTTTCGTTTCCCCTCCAGTTTCTCTGGTTTAAAAGCTCCTGCACGCTGTGGCGTGCGTTGTGCTCTGACAGAGGACGCACTGACTGAAACATTCCTCTTTGTGACCTAAGCGTTACCATAAAATAATCCTAAAGAATGCGCGAAAATCATATCCTATGCATTTCTGAAGAGATAACACCTGGTGCTTTTCGGATGTGCTGCAGGATCTCAGTTTGGTTTGTTTCTCCTCTAAACAAAAGCAATGTTTAAGTCATTAGATTGATTTACTTACACATAATCCCGGTCAATAGGACCATAAGATTCCATTGTCTATTTTAGATTGATTCTCAGTAGCTGTTTCTGCCCACATAGCACTTAGCCACCTCAAATGCAGCACAGCCCAAGCCATGCTTCTACTGTTTATAGGGTACCCCGAGTCCAGTGGTTGTTGGGCCTTTTATGCTGGTTTTCTCAAGGATCCATTGCATCTCAGTGCTTCATTCTACACAAGGTCCCTGACCCATCACTGACACATGCGTATACAGAGTCTGCTCCGAGAGTAATGCCTCCTATTTTATTATGTTGCTTGCAATACCAGTGGTGGATGTTGGTGGTATGGCAGTAGAGATTGAACTTTCCTGCCACTATGCCATTACATTTTGTTGCTGTGTGACAGATGGCTGCAGAGAGGCAGTCCAACAGAATGGCATCTGACATGTAAGTGCTTGTGAAGCAAAGGTGAGTCACTGAATTATTCCATGTGGAAAAAAATCACACCCACTGATTTAATTGAGATTCAGTTCTGGAGATCAAACAGTGGATGTAAGCACAGTGAGGCGGTGGGTGCTGCATTTCAGTAGTGACCACAGTGACAATGGGCCACTTCCACTGGTGCACTTTTTTATGAGCTCAGCGTGCAGGCTCTTATTCATCACTGGGGAAAATGTACAGCTAGTGGTGGTGACTATGAGAAATAGTTTTGTAGCTGAGAATTTGCTCTATCGAATAGTGTTATTTTGCTCTTTGTATCTATTGTTGTTATCATGGAAATAAATAGGAGAACTTACTTTTGGAGTGACCTACATAGTTTCCATTTGTGAGGTTAATGATGTGGGCTGACCAAAGGCCACATGCTATAGCTGTGATGGATTTGGGAATCACATGCTTCTGCTGGCACAGGGAGCTGTTGATGCCTGGTGAAGTGTTGGACCCTGGTCTGTCCCAGGCCATGAGGGGAGTAAAGAGCCCTGCTGAAGTTTCTGGGAGCCAATGGGTCTGCTTCTCCTTCAGAATTTCATGTACGCAGCCACTATACCACAAATGCAAATAAATCAGCTTTTCTTCCTTCCCTGTTTCGCTAACACTGCTGCCATTTTTGGGCAACATCTGCTCTTCATTCCCAGCCCAATATTAATAAAGCAATAAGCAAAACAGGATGTGCATTAGGAGGCTAATGGGTTGTGGGTCCTCCTGGAACGCAAGCACTGGGAGTGTAAAGTGAGAGGACAAGTGAGAGCTCCTCAGGGAACCTCAGCAACACTATGTCCTAACAAGCCCCTGAGGGCAGCTCTGAGAGCAGCTCCATTTTTGTTTGAGACTTCAGGCAGCAGATCTAAACTAAGGAGCTTGTTTAGTACGAGAAATGAGCTTAGCCACACTCAGATTGCACAGGAAAGTGTCCAGATGGGTTTTGAATAGCTCCAGCAAAAACTCTCTCTGCAGCTTGTTCCAGTGCTCTGTCGTCCTCAAGGTAAGAAGTTATTCCTCACGTTTGTATGGAGCTTCCTGCGTTCCAGTTTGTGCCCACTGAGCCTTCTTCTGTTGCTACACAGTACTGAAAAGAGCCTGGCTCCATCCATTTGACTCCTTCAGGTTTTATATTTATAGCACTGATAAGACTCCTCCTCAAACTTGACTTCTCCAGGCTGAGCAGTCCCAGTTCTCTCATCCTTTCCTCATATGGGAGATGCTCCAAGACACTATTATCTCTGTGGCTCTCTGCTGGATTCTCTCTGGATGTTCACTGTCTTGGGCTTTCTTAATCATTGTGAAAATGGGACCAAAAGCATCAAATCTTTGTGCCCGTGTTCTATATGTGTACACAAAGAAGAAAAACAAATTTGAATGTAAAAAGTCTCAGGTGTTCGTTAAACATAAGGAGCTTAAATAATAAAATGAAACAATTATAATTAAAAAAAAAAAAAAAAAAAAAAAAAAAGCAAGAAGGGAAAGTGTAGAAGAAAGAAACTATGCGCATTTTATTTTTCTACATGCTGTGAACCTCTGGAGAGCATCCTGATGAATGATAAGTGACAAACGAAGAGTGAAGGGCTGTAATTCCCAGTGCTGCAATGTCTGACTGTACCAAGAGGTGTGCAGTGGGCAGAAGCCAGGGGGGGATGCAGGGAGTTACAGAGTAAGGGAAGAGCCTCAGTGGTCTGAGACTAGGGAGGGGAGAGGGCCTTCCCTCTGACCTTTGTTATTAAACACTAGGATACTCTGATTAAAAAATATACACTGCTGTGGTACCCTAGCACAAATAAGATGTGCAGTGATATATGCCTTGAATGTAAAGGCACATTTAGTGCTTACTGTTATTTCCTAGAACCCCTAGTTTTAAGCCTTTTTGTCCTACTGCAACAGTAGTATCAGGCATGGGATAGACAATATAAATGGGAGAGGCAAAGGGAGTTATATGCAGCCTTTCTACTCCATTTCACTCCTGGTGTTCACATTTTCTCTCTGAAAGTTCCTTTACTACATCCTGCTTTTAAAGTGGTGCAAACATTCATTTGATATTGTGGCAAGTGCTCTTTGAACCCAGGATCAAAGCCACGAGCAAAGACTGAAGCAGGTTTCCTCCTCACTCTCATTCACCAGGATCTTGCTTTTCGGTGTCTGCTGCTTTATTTCAATGTCACCTTTCCACAGCCTCTTGGCAATAATTCTGTGTTCACGTATAACCTGATGTATTTATATTCAGTTAATGTATGTGTTATGACCTTAGCTATCCTTACACATTATTTCCTTTCCACACTTACATGACCTTATGTGTGCTGGTTTTAGATGGTAAGTGACAAAGTCAAAATTAAAGTTTGAATCTGCTTGAATTCTTTGCCCATATCCAAATTCATAATTCCATATTAAAATAGAACATTTGCTCATTGTTTTTGTCCCCTGCATGATCATTAGCTTCTCTCAGGGGAATTGCACTGGAAAAATCACAGAATATCAGCATGACAATAGAAGAAATATGGAAGAATGCCACTAAGTAAAAATATCCTCTCCCCAAGTCAGTGTGCAGGAACATAAACATGTCTGGGAGCTCCTGGATCACCTCCCCTTCCCCTTGAAAGGATCCACAGCAGGATCCTTCTCAGTCTGATGTGACCAAAGCACTCCCTGAACACCAGCATCACCAACTGCAGAACTCATCCTGTGAGAAACTTGGGGGCCTTAAACCTAAATCTATAATGCACCATTAAACAGAGAGAAAGAAAGAAATCGATTCCATTGCCAGTATCTAAATTAATCCACAGTGTATCCACAGGCACATCAGGTTCATTTTTATGGACCATGCAGGTCTCTGAATTTGCTGCCTGGAATCAGTGCTTGTGCCTTGACACAAAGGGAAAGAACATTTGTGCAAAGCAGTGCCTTTAAAAATCATAGACTGGTTTGATTTCTGAGTAGCAATAAAGGAGTTGAAAGCAGCTGGGTATAGTAAAAGGTAGCAAAAATAAGGGTAATGCAGGATTTGCTAGGAGAAGGAGTGATGAGAATACACTCACATTAAACACATTTTTCTCTAAACTGGGATTTCACATCAGTGATTTGGTAAATCTAAGAACATTAAAAGTGTCCTTCAATTGCGAGTACAGAAGTTAGAAGTTAGCTTCCTTCTCTTTTAGCAGATCTGAAAAGAGAGAAAACTACTGAAACAAGGAAAACCATAATCTGAGATAATCATAGAATCATAGAATGGCCTGGGTTGAAAAGGACCACAGTGATCATCTAACTCCAACCCCTTGCCATGGGCAGGGTCACCAACCATCAGCCCAGGCTGCCCAGAGCCACATCCAGCCTGGCCTTGAATGCCTCCAGGGATGGAGCATCCACAACCTCCTTGAGCAACCTGTTCCAGTGTGTCACCACCTCTGTGTGAAACATTTCCTTCTAAGAAAATCCATAAGGATTCTACTCCCAACATCTGGAATTGCAAAGCCCATTTAAAGCCCTGGGACTACTGTACAGCTCCCGCACTTAAACCAAATTTTCTACCCAGAATATGAAAACCAGAAAAGAATGCAGTGGGCTATTGGCAAATGCAGAGTCTGCAGTGAGACAGTGCAGAAAGCTGAGATAGAAAAAGAAGCCAGGACAGCATCTGGTGAATATGTACCAATGTTCAAAACAGATTTAGGCCAGATATAAGAGCAGGTTTTTGTTGTTTTTATAGAAAGGATGTTTTGCCCAGCAGGGCATATTTTACAGCCTAAGGGTCTCTATACAAATAAACTCACAGGCCTCTTAGAAGAATGCATGCAAAATTATCCCAAAGTTATGTATTTATTATTATAAGGCTGAAAAAAGAGACAAAGGAAATGCTCTAAGAGGAACCATATGCTGAAACATTA